ATAACTTTATTATTATTATTATCATAAAAAAGCAAAAAGACGGAAGGAATGAATTTTATAAACAATTGTAAATGCTAACAAGTAAAATCTTCATTAAGTCCGATTTCACTCGAGATATGAAACGTGACTCCCCTCTATTTCCCAGCTTGTTTATAAAGGGCACTGACCAAGGACTTTAAACTACAAGGATAGCCAGATCCCGTATATTTGTTAGCATGACCTTGGATCTATGTGACGTCACAGCAAGTCCTCTACTTCACCTTTCAAATAACAAAATACGATAAAATATTAAAGCATTTCTTAATTAATTATTAAATTACTACTAAATGTAAACTACTGTAGAATTTTCGGATTTAATAAGTGTACTGTACGTCAATAAATTTACAAGTCTTTTGTGTAATATTTATTTAACAAATTAATGAGCTATATTTTTTATTATGTGATTATCTTACTTAACTTTTTAATTTTTTTTCGACAATCACCATTTTCAGAAGGCATTCTTTTCAATATTTTATAGTTTTCTTGTTTAAGATTTCTATAATTAATTCTTATTATAGTTCTTAATTTACAAAAATCTTTTATTAAAGTAAAAGGTAAAACTGTTTCCACTGACTAATTCTGTACAACTCCGGGGCCTTTTTTATACGATTCATCGTGATATATTTCGAAATATTTATTCCATTCTATAATTTTTGCTAGCCATTCATCAGTAGGTTTAATAAGCCCTCCATAAGATAAATGTTGCACCCATGACGGAATGCTATAGTTGTAATGATTTTTAATTTTGTTAGTGGAATTAATTAAGTTTGGGTATTTTTCTTTATATTTATAGGCAAAATATCCTGCTATATACTCGAGAGCATCGTAGGAAGTTTCTTCAGAGATTGTGTTAAAGTCTAGATTGCATGTAGAGTTTCCTGAAGATTTATTTGAAGAAAAAGTAGTTTTACATTCAGTATATTGGTCTGTATTTTCACTTGATACTTCTACATGTGCTTTCTCTAAAACTTTGGGTATAATATATTCCTCTTGTCTTCGATCTGTAGTATTTACTTTTGACTCTAAAATACCAGGATTCTTACCTAAAATAATCAATCTAATCCTATATATAGCATTTAATGGGCTTGGATGTACATTAGGACCCCGGCTTCTATTTTAAAAAAAAAAGTTTTCCAGACAATCTTGATTTAAATTGTGAGTGCAGATGTATTTTATATCAAAAGTCGATTTCATATCTTGAAAAAGATCAATTAGCGATTTCATTGAGATTATCATTCCTTTCTGGAAAATTTGGAGGGCATTTTTTCCACTTGCTCTCATTGTTGAGATTATTTTTATCATTTTATTTAAATGTTCTTCTTGTAATTCCAAGTCTACACCATATCCATTTTTGCTTGGAACAGAACCTTTTGGTGCATAGCTATTAAAAATGTCGAACCACATATTTATATCTCTAATATACGTTTCATTGATAATAATAATTGATTCATAATAAACGTTTCATTGATATTCACATTCAATTCTTTCCATAAACTTATGTTACTGCAACTACAGTCACTGACGCAAGCTACTACATTATACGATAGTAAATAAAGTTCTGCTATTAATTTTAAAAGTATTTCTCTTGTCATTTTTTGATCAAACCCGATGTAAACAGGTTGCTTCCAATTTGAAAAAAGAAGGTTATTATTGCAACCATACACAGCACACCTAGTACTCAGCATTTTGTTCTTCACCTAACATAAAAATATAGCTTTAAATATTTAATGACTTATATTTAAATCATCTTACCTTATAAAAAACTTAGTCAAATAAAACAATTACAGAAATATTAAAATAAATCACTTCGTTAATCACAAAATTGGACGAATATTAAAAGCGAAAACTAAACACGTGCACACCCTGCTCTATGTAAACAGAGAGGTCAGGACACGTGCTGACGTCACTAACTTGCCATTCCTGGCTAACATTGTAGAATAGGGATCTGGCTATCCTTGTAGTATATAGTCCTTGGGCACTGACTATTAAATTTTGCTGGTTAAAGGTCGAGAGGGTGAGGAGATAAGAGGGGTGTCACATATCATATCTCGAAAGGGGTCAGACTTAATGAAAATTCGTTATTAGTTATTCGTTATCAGCATTTATAATTTTTTTATAAAACTCATCTCTAACGTCAAAATTAAGCTTTTTGCTATTTTATTACAATTAATGATACTGTATGAGATTTTGTGATAATATATTTTAGTATTGCCTTTCTATAACAGATGGCGCCACACACAATTGGGCATTTTGGAATATCTTTGGAACTGAATTTTACATGTATGGCCAGTGTGCCATGCTCAAGACTGCTGTGACTGCAGTACTGAACTAGGTGCTAAAACAGCTGAAAAAGTCCTTTGAAATGCTCATTACTCATTCTGAATGCTGTATTGCTGCAGAGGGATTTTATTTTGAATAAATAAACATACAGTATTTATAAAAATATTCAAAACAGTCGGTCAGGACAAGTAATTTTATATACAGTACAGTATTTAGATTATTTGTCCTGACTGACTGACTGACTGAGTGATTGACTGATTCACCATCGCCCAGAGCAACAGTGGTGTACCGTAGTAGGGGCGGCAGGGGCGGCCCGCCCCGGGCGGCACTTTTTAGGGGGCGGCAAAATTACTTTTTAGGGGCGGCAAAATTTCACAATAAATAATAATAATCTTGTAAAAATTTGAAACATCCTAATCTATACTTGCATCGCGCCTACGATAGTGCTATCGTCCGGACAGTCCGGGAATCGGCTCGCCGTCTGGGTGAAGTAGTGATTTTTTCATCCGAGGAAATCCTGCAAAACCTGTTGACCTTTTTTTCTTTCTTTCTTTTTTCTTTTTATTTCGCTTGTACGATTCATTCGCGTTCATATACACCCCTAATATTCAATTGAACTATTTTAAACAGGTCGCTGCACTACCACTGAATTTTTCATTGCTTGTTCTGTGACAAAACTGAATTTTGGTCTTTTAAATTGAAATACCTAAATAAGGGGGGCCGAAATTTTCCTCCGCCCCGGGCGGCTGACATCCACGGTACGCCACTGCAGAGCAAACCGCTGAACCTGAAGAGATTAAATTTTGTACACAGTTAGGGTACGTCATGAAAACGCACACTAAGAAGGGATTTTTCGAAATTCCCCCGCGGGGGAGAGGGAGAGCATTAAGGCTTAACCTGAAGAACGGCTTCTACTGTACTATTTTAGATGCGATTTTTTGTTTTCAACTACGTTTAGTTTTCATTGAGTACTTAGGTGTATTAAATTAAATTGATAACATTTCAGATATTGTTATAAATATTTTTATATATTTCGACTTTTTAACCAAATGTTCGAACCGTTTTAAATTCGAATTTGTTACTGTATATTGGTTCGATTACAGAACGATTGTAAACTAGGGTTTCTCATTTCCCGGTCTTTTGCTTGTCCCGGGATTCCGGGATAAAAGTGAACTGTTTCTCGGGATCCCGGGAAATCCCGGGATAAAATTAATTATTTTTAAGGTATACAAAATGTCTTGAAATTAAATGATATAATTATTTTTCATTTTTAAAGTAATTTTAAAGTTCTGTGTCATCCAAAATCATATTAATAACGCTGTGTAAGATATATATAATAAAAATTACCTTTGAATTATGTAGAAATTTTCACAAATAGAAAAAAATTAATTAAAGTTCGCTAGAAACTGCATACAACAACAATGCTTTGAATTGAGTTAAAAATTAAAAATTGAACTTAGATCAAACTTATAACTTAGAAGGTAATTTTCGTTTTTTTAAATAAAATATAATACAAAATATTGTAAACTTTTATAAGATTTTAAAAAGCAAAGATGATCAATACTCCGATAACTCACTCTAATTCTTATTTTAGTAATGAAAAGTCTTGCCACCGAGAATGCCCTTTCCGATTCAATTGATGTGATTGGAATAGTGTTTAATGCATTTAAGAGAAGACAGATATTATGTGTTTTTTCACCTGTAGCCTGGAAGATTTCGAGTTTGTTTTCGAGATTGTAGTACTTCTTTTGCTCTCTAGTATTTTTGATTTGTCTACCTCGGCTGCTTTAATAGCGGCATCAAGCTTATAGCTCAATAATTCGGCAATTCGTTTGGCTTTAATAATCAGGTTTATGAAGAAAAACTTCATACTTGCAGACTTTATACTCGTTTGTATCTTTGCCCAATTTGCACAATCTGGCGTTACGCATTTATTGAAGCTACTGGGCATGGTTAAAAATTAAGACAGCGTAAGCACAATTATTCCATATATTACAGGTTCTGACAAGTAAAGAATTTTCAGAGTCCTGCCACAAATAAGCTATGTATTGATTATCGACCATTTGTGACATGTCATAACGAGCAAAAATTAAAAAAAAAAAAACTAATAGGTAGGTTTAAAATTAATAAATACAAATGTATTCTGACAGTGAATGAGATAATTATGCTTTCTATTTGCAAAATTTCTTAACCATAACACAAAATAAGAAAAAAGTGAATTTTTAAGAAATTTGCGGGATTTCCCGGGTTAAAAAAATAACCGGGATCCCGGAATCCCGTTTGAGAAACACTGTTGTAAACATTCCAGAAAATTGATCAAAATGAAAACAGTTCGTTTGATTCTCAGCAATTCTCATGATTCTCAGCGGTAGGTATTATATAACAATTACTATGTTTGTTGAAATATTGAATATAAATGGGATTTGTTTGCAAAATCCGCGCGGGCGAAGTCGCGGGTAACAGCTAGTTGATAATATAATTAATAATATGAATGTTATTTTAAAAATAAAATGTTAACAGCCGGATAAGTCAATAAAAATGAAGTGATTACAAAGAATACAAAACTTTATTCAATGCAAAACTATAAATTCTAGGTCGATACATTTTAAAAAATTATTGAAAAATTTAATCTTGAGAGCGCCTCTATTGACGAAAAGGTAAACTAAACGCGAAATTGCGCCTCGTGCCCAATCGTAAATAAACATCACGTTCTAGCAGTATGAATCATTTTAGACTGTCAGTAGAAGACAGCTGATGTCTCAGTTTTGCTGCATAATAAAGAAGAAAATGAGAAAGATATGATCATATTTTTGAATAAATTAGTGAAAAGATTGAAAGTATTGTAAGTATTTTGTATTTAACTATGACAATCAAATGTTGAATATACAACTTTGTTGCGACCCTCCTCATTCGAAGCCTGAATTGTGTCAAACAGGCAGTCACGTAATCAATAGTTGTCGCATCAAATACTAGAAAAGAGTTTTAGATTACTAAAACAGTAATTAATTAGAACTTATTAATATTTATATGTTCATAACTCATGAATGCCAATATAATATAGTATTATATATCAATGGTTGCCACTGATATATAATACTATATTATATATCAGTGATATGTATATAATTCGTCTCTGTAATCCAAAAAATTTTTGGTAGACGGACTCACAGCAAAACTTTTAGTTAGGAACTCACTTTTATTCTTTAAAAAATGACATATGCATTTCAGGTTGGTATACTCATCCAACCCCTCTTCAGTGCTAATTTTTCAAAAAACAATAAAAAGCTACAATAACCAATATATGACACAAATACATTACAAAATATTACTACTTACTTACTCTTAAAGTAAAAGTTGCATATGGGCTACCATTACATCTAAACACCAGCCATTTGTTTTCCATTTAAAATGCACTTGAAGTGTTTGCATAACATCACTTCTAAAAACCAATACACATTATGACTATACTGTAAACTTAACAAGTGTATACAATAACCAATACGTTACATACCTTTAAAATATAGATAGTATACGAACAATCAAACCAACTAGCAATACATTAGAATACCACTTTTAAATCAATCGCAATAACTTCATTATTTTATTACTATGTAGCGCCCTCTATCATTTTGTACCATCTAGAATCTATTTGCATCCCATCAGAAATATTTATTAAATTATTTTGGTTTTTCTTAATTTCTAAGTGTTCTTTAAATTTACGTTTATATATGTCCTTTTCATTGTGTAGAATTTTAATATTATTGCGATTAATTTTACATTTATTGTTTTCCGTGTGTTCGTACCATGGCGAATTTTTATATCTCGGATCTATATTATCAAGGTTACTTCTATATAGAAGTAACCTTGATAATATAGATCCGAGATATAAAAATTCGCCATGGTACGAACACACGGAAAACAATAAATGTAAAATTAATCGCAATAATATTAAAATTCTACACAATGAAAAGGACATATATAAACGTAAATTTAAAGAACACTTAGAAATTAAGAAAAACCAAAATAATTTAATAAATATTTCTGATGGGATGCAAATAGATTCTAGATGGTACAAAATGATAGAGGGCGCTACATAGTAATAAAATAATGAAGTTATTGCGATTGATTTAAAAGTGGTATTCTAATGTATTGCTAGTTGGTTTGATTGTTCGTATACTATCTATATTTTAAAGGTATGTAACGTATTGGTTATTGTATACACTGTTAAGTTTACAGTATAGTCATAATGTATATTGGTTTTTAGAAGTGATGTTATGCAAACACTTCAAGTGCATTTTAAATGGAAAACAAATGGCTGGTGTTTAGATGTAGTGGTAGCCCATATGCAACTTTTACTTTAAGAGTAAGTAAGTAGTAATATTTTGTAATGTATTTGTGTCATATATTGGTTATTGTAGCTTTTTATTGTTTTTTGAAAAATTAGCACTGAAGAGGGTGTAGGGCAGAGGGTGCCACCGCTCGATTTTTCCCCTCTGACCTCACTTGGTCCTAGGACACCGATTTGGAGAGACGCTTTCATACGCCGACCTTTGCTTTTGTTACGCCAATCTTTCGGAGTCAACTTCGGCAACGAACGCATATTTGTACAGTTATTCGACTTAGGCCTTTGTAGATATTTCGTAGTCACGTGGAATAAAGTAAAATATTTTCAAGGAATCAGTGTCCTCCTTAATCTTGCCTGACCAACAAAGAACGTGGGACACGTGGTCGAGATCGAAGCTACTACTATACGAGGTAGGATCAAATTCGGACCTATGCTATCGAAACGCCTTGATGGATTTTAGCTCCATCGCTAAAAGGGGTTGGATGAGTATACCAACCTGAAATGCATATGTCATTTTTTAAGAATAAAAATGAGAATAAAAATAAAATAAAATAAAATAAAATAAAATAAAAAAAATAAAGAATAAAAGTGAGTTCCTAACTAAAAGTTTTGCTGTGAGTCCGTCTACCAAAAATTTTTTGGATTACAGAGACAAATTATATACATAGTAACATACAGCAGTCCAGATACAGAGTATCAGTGATGGTCTGCAAGAAACTTTTAGTGGTCCATGGAGAAATTTGGACATTGATCTGAGGGTTATGTAAAGTATTATGAAAGAAATGCAAAATGCTTGATTGCTTATTTTCACTCATTGGGGATTTTTTATTTGAGTTTAAAACCAGATGTGAAATGACTGTTATCAATAAATAATAATGTCAATAAATCAATAGATAATGTGAGTGTAATTGTTGTCATTCATGGAAAAGAACCAAGAATCCATAAACTTATTTTAAACAAGCAGCAACAAACTTCACACTAATTTATTATAATTAAACAAGTGAATTTCATATTAATAAAGTAAAATGGAACTTTTACAGTTATTATTCTATAGATGTTTGTACTGTTTAAAAGAAATTCATGACAGTAGGCTGTGGGATTGTGAGTTTAGTGGTCCATAAGATCAAAGGTTGGCGACTGCTGTTATATATTATATTAATATAATATTTATGAATATTAATTAACAAAAATGAAAAAAACTGTTAAATTTAGTTTTTATACAAATATGTAATATTTAATTTTTCATAAACAAAAAACTATTTTGGAATTTCAATGCTTCAAAAGCTCACAAAGCAAACAAATACATAAAAGCATAATAATAAGTTATATTAAATAGTGAAATAAAAATAATATCCAGATATAAAAATTATCAATCAGTTTAATAGTACCAAAGCCATGCCACCTGTTTGTCTGGAAAGGTTTGTAATAAGTTTGCTTATGATTAAATTATTTTTGTAGAATAAAATTCAAATTTGCTTATTAAATAATAAACAAATGACAAAAATATTTTATAAATTTTGTTTTAAAATTGGAACCATACATGAGAACTGAATTGTATTTTGAAACATCCAAAATTAATGGAATAAATTTGATTAGAAATTTTCATATTTAAATGTTTGTTTCTTATATATGAATTCTATTTCATTCTAAATTTTAGATATTTTTTAATGTATTTACTAAATTTTGATTAGTTTTGCTAATTTTAATTGTTGAGAGAGAGATTATTTTAAATAAAAGTTTTGGTTCAAATCTAGGACAAATGGACGGAATTGGGACTGGAAGAGAGCTGTAGAGCATATTGATAGGAATAAAATGTAAAATTTGTATATATAAAATTACTCTCATACCTTAATAAGTTATAAAATCTAAATTAATGTAATTAAAGAATTAATAAGCTATATTTTTATTTTGGTCTTCAAATATTTGATATTGAGGTAATTAAAACAGTTTAAAAAAAATTAATGATTGAAATAAGTGTCAGCTTTTAAAACTGAAAATTTGCATTTTTAAAGCCATCAGCATATGTTGTTATGTTTCCATTGAAAAAACTATTTTATTTCAGTATTTTTCTATAATTGTAAAAACATAATATTTAATTTGAAAAATATAAATATTTAGTTGATAAAATACACAAATTATTTTAAAAGATGTTAAGAAAATTTGAATGAACCAAGAATATTATCTAATAAATATACCTAATAAGAAAAACAAAATTATTCCTAAATACAGTGATACCTCAACTTACGCTACCCCAACTTACGCGAATCCAGAGTTACGCGATTTTCAAATCTCATCGATTTGTCTTTTGTTGGAGCACTATGCAATTCTTGATTACTCATTCCCTCCACACTATTGTTCAACTTACATGTTCGGACGTGTCATGCGGAATTGACAAATAGCTACAATTTATTTTGTGTTATTTATTTCTGTGTTTGTTATATCTACGGAGACTTGAGAGACTCTATGTGGTGATTTCTTGTAACAATGAACAAATCAAAAGACGAGATAAGATTAACGAGAGTATTTATTAGCTTACATACATCCAACTTGGATTTTACACGAATTGCAAAATTATACCCCGACTTACGCGAATTCGACTTACGCGGTTATCGCTCGGTCCCATCTATCGCGTAAGTTTGGGGTATTACCAGTGCCGTAACTAGCCATTCCTGTGCCCTGTGCAAAAATTTGCAATTAGGCCCCTTAATTAATTAGATTTGGGAAAATAATAAAACAAATATATGCATTTTGGACTCCCCTTCCAAGTGGGCCCTGTGCGAGTGCACCTGTTGCACCTGCCTAGTTACGGTACTGGGTATTACTGTACAATAAATAATATAAATTTAAAAATTTGTTATAAAGGAAAAAAACTGTACTGTATAATGCCTGAATAGTTTAATTTTTTTATACAGGTATTAGTTTAACAAATTTATATGATTATATATAATTTAATATTCTGATTCTGTATTAAATTAGATATTCTTTAATTTATATTTTGTTAGGCATTCATTATTAAAATATATGATTTTGTCTGATTATATCTGTGTTTATTATATTTCAGAAGTGTTTTTTCTTTATAATGACATACTGGTTAATTTGGTTTAATTTTGTTTAGTTTTAATTTTGAAAATTTTTTAAATGTGTGTTTTATATATTTTCATCAATTAAATACAAAATCATAATAATTTAATCCTAATATTATAAAAATAACAAGCAATTATTTATTGTGACATTGTCACAATAAATAAAACTGCAATTTTTATCATATTTTTAATTTATTTAATTTAAAATATATGCTCTCCACCTCAAATTAGTTGTGGCTTACCCCTGTACATCATACTTTTCTTTTAACTATAGAGTCATGCCAGTCATCTATCTAACATCTTTCAGGGGGAAAGTTTTGTATTGAAATAACATGACTTCTAGTTTGCATCAGAAGTTCATATATGGTTATAGTTGTGAAATTAGCCAGGGGCCAAGGGGGTGATCCCAATGACCACTTGATCAGCATGGGTTGGTAAAACCCGTCTCGTTGTCACTGGATGGGTCTTTAATGAGTTGTCGGCAGGATTGCAGGATCTGGCCAGCATCAGGATGCTGACACCAGTTAGGATAAAGTTACGTGCATCCTAACTTGCAAGTTGTAAACAAAGGTTGAGTAGGAGGGATGATTCAATGGATGAGTGGGGAGGTTGGTAAGTCGATAAGTGTCTGGTTTTTTGAGGAAGACAGGCCATAAACAATGTACAACACAGGTTTATTTTAACTAAATTTAAGACATACAATTAACTACGTAACATACGATTAAATACTATATAGAGAGTAGCTATATAACACAATGTGATTAGCCTACTTCATATGGTGATCGTGAGGGTGTTCTGATACTGTCTGTTAAATCCTATCTACCCAAGCTATGAAGATCAAGAGAGAGTTTACAATGGTCTAATTAAAATACCTCTGAGAGATGCAATTCTCAATTGTTGTGGAAGCGTATATGATGCTCATTCTGTAGAAGTGAAGTGGAACCAAGTTGTCAAACTGTTGTCTTCTCCTGGGACTGGGTTGGATCTGTTCTATGGAGGTCCAGGAGACTTGAGTGCCTTTTATAGAAGGTAGAACTTCTTCCGAGGAATCCTATGGACAGACACCTCAAAATACGGGTGCTGCGTCCTTATATTCGTTTTTGGCCTGGGAAAATGATCATGTGATTGAGTGCTGTCGAAGACAAAGGTTGATTTTGCAGGTGTTGGGTCAGAGGTGATCCAGGGAGACAAAGAGAAGGTGTCGAAACGGAATGTAGAGTGTAATCTTTGGTTTGTGCAATGTTAGATTCATCATGTTTATGCGGGCGAATGTTGACATTCTCATCCCTTATATATAGATTGTTATACTTTCTTAGCGGTTGTTGATGAGAAAGATGACATTCAATCCTTTTTCTATTTGATGTTTTCTTAATGATCGGAACGGAGAATTAGGCTTAAAAATTTTCTTAAACTTTACACAAAATCAAGTGCTCAATCTTACATAGTTAATTAGGGCTTCTGCCCTAAGGTTTCCATATGTGGTCTTGTCTTTCATCTATCCAACTCTGTTCTCAAGATTAAGGAAAGACAGACAGACAACAGTGGGAATTTATAGGTCTACAAGTTTTTTCAAATTGCACCCAATAAATTTATTATTTTAATTCACAATGAAAAACTTAAAACTTAACTGATATATATATATATAATTGTAAAAGATGATAATAAATTGAACTTTTTCTTATTTTTCTTATGTCTTAACTACTGACTAATTACTGAATGAACATAACTGTAAGCTTGGGTATCTGCAGAAAATTTTTCAGATGGCAAAACTTGGAGACAAATAATTATATCAATAATTTTTTTTAATTACTTAATTTTTGGGGGATTTCTTCACAAGTAGGTTATAATATACAGTATTGCATCAAAGCAGAGAGGTTGAGGCCAGTTTTAAATGCGAAAGTGTGTACATCGGATGTTCAGTGCCACTTTCCTGTAAGACTAGAAGTTTGACAATGGTGTTTGGTTTAGTCAGTGCTATCATGCTCGACATTCCAAACACCATTGTCAAACTTCTAGTCTTACAGGAAAGCGGCGCTGAACATCCGACGTACACGTTTTCGCATTTAAAACTTCAGCCTCAACCTCGCTATTCAATTACACCCTTGATCATAGAATGTTTTGGTAAATGATTAAGATACATAACCTTATGGTTATGTATCTTAATCATTAATAAGATACATAACCTTATGGTTATGTATCTTAATCACTTACCAATGGTTATGTATTGATACATAATGGTTATATATCAATTATAATTTATGGAATTTTTTTTATTTCAGGAAGGCACAAGTATCCTATTTGCACCCTCTGCAAGTGCCCATGACTATAAGCAAATGAAATTTAAAAAATTAATTGTTTTTAATTTGAAATTTGTAATATGAATTGTTTTTATTTTATAAGTTAAATGAAATAGTTTTTCTATAAATAAATATTGAAATGAAATTTGACATTAGTTATTATAAGTAAAATATATATATATATATATTATTATCATGAAAATCTATCCTGTTTCTCTTTCAATGCTTTCAGGGCAGACACAGTTTAAACAGGGAGTTTATTTTATGTGTTAATAATTTAATTAGCTCTAAGAAATGATTTAATTAAATATCTTACATAACAGACTAATTAACATAACTGTATTTTCATATAAATTTGTTAAGATTGAAAATAGGCATTTTTGTTTTATTATTATTTTACATAGAAAATGTTATTTATGATATTGATAATATATGAATAAATAAGATAATAAATATGATAAACTTTTTTTTAAAAGATTATAAATAAATATTCTTGACCTGAATATCTAATAATGTAATGAATATTTTTAGTTATGGTTTTGATAGGAATTTGATATGAAGTATGTAAACAAACAAAATATTTTTTAATACATAGTACTGCTATTTGTTCTCTTATCTATTGAGATAAAAATATTAAATAAAATCAACCTCTAATCAATAAAATTAGTTATCATATTTCATAAAGAATTTTTTTAAATGAGTTGGCATTATACTGTATATAAAAATGTAAATATTAATTTTTAAAAACAACATTGATAAAAAAATTATGTAGATTTGAAAATAAATTTTTATATAAATTAAAATTAAAATTTACTTTCTTTCCTTCTTAATTTTGCTTTATTGTATCAATATTTCTATAATTACATTACTTTTCATGTAATATAATTATATATGGGTAATTGCAAATCACTATGCAGTTGCTTTGCTTTCTTACAGACAATCCTCTTGGAGATGATATCACCAGCCAATTGATTCTCATTTTTCTATACTACAAGGAGTTTTTCCATTTCCTCAATAATATGTAATTTCCTGGAAGCCAAAATTGTTTCTTTTGTTGCTTCCTTGTTCTTAAGAATGGCATGCACCATCAACTTTGTCATCTTAAACATGGCCTTCAGATCTGTCACACATGTACCCATGTATTGCATTTGTGCTTCACAATATGTTCCTTTTTCACTTCAGTTATTGAGACTAAACCCTTCCTCTCAGGCTTCATTGCTTCCACACTCTTCTTGGATGCCATGTGTAATAGGTAGAGGTTATATACATAACCAAACATACCAAAAAGAAAGCAAAAAAAGCAATGGAAACACATGAGCATAATGCAAGAGGTGCTTTTACAGGAAGAGCAAGAGATGACTTGGACGCACAACAGATGGCATTTATACAGCGAGTGCATTTTTTCACTGCATGTGTAATTCAAATACAGAAACATCATTCAAACTCTGGATTGAATTTCTTACAAATTTAGTGTTTGAACATGAAATTAATTTTATATTTGCTAGTACATTTGATAATAATATATAAACTTCATTTTCTTTGGGTAAAGAGAACAGATTGGAAAAAACATATATCAATTATAAACTAAATCCTGTGCACCCCATCTGCAACACCAATACAAATGGGAGGTATACTGGATGCACTGTATTGAGGCCTGAAAAGAAAATTGAATTTGAAAAAAGTAAACAAAAATACAGCTGCACTGTGCAGTTATTATTAATTAAAAATAAATTTGTATACATATTTAATATATTTGTTTCTTAATTTAATATATTCTTGTCTTGATATAGGCAAGAGATATTTATTATTTCCTTATGTAAAGCCTATATCAAGTACTAATTTTTCACATATTTTGTATAATGATTCTGACAAATTCTACAATTATTTCAAATTCTTAATTTATTCTTACATCAAAGTTTATTAAATTATTTAATATATATTATTGTAATGATAATAGGTTTTGAGTTTGATGTTGTTGCAAAATAAAATTATAAAGTTTTTTTGTTCTTTCAGGCATTAAAAAGTTTTGATATTTCATCTCTGAAGTTTATTGCTGAAACATTCCATATCTACAATAATGAACATTGAAATTATCAAAACAATCATCCTTGTATCGCTTTTTGTTGTGACATTAATATTTAGCATACTTCCATTGATTTTGATAGAAAAAATAAGGAATATTTCCAATCCAACCAGAAGGCATTCATATGAACATTTTATAAGTTTTCTAAGCTGCTTTGGAGGTGGAGTATTCTTAGGAACATGTTTCTTGGATTTATTTCCTGATGTACAAACACAACTGCAAAATGTTTGGAAAGATAAACAATTTTCTTCTTATCCAATTGCAGAATTTGTTATGATATTTGGTTTTTTACTTGTTTTAATAATTGAACAGGTAAGTTTAATTGAACAGGTTTAAACTGTAAAAGAATCAATACATTTTCCAGTTAAATTTAATAATAATTGATTATTTTATGTAATAAGAAAAAAAATAAAATTATTTTATATGATATTTATATATTAATATAGCATGCTTTTAAATAGTAAAGTTTATTTTCTTCATTAATGATTTGAATTTATTCTTGTTTTATTTTAAAATAATTACAATAAAACTTTTCTAACTGAAAGCTCTAAGAGACACAAAAATTTCAAGTTACAGATGATTTGAATTAGAGAACAATAGAGTGAAAAATGCCAATTCTGAATAGATTTGTATTTTTACCTCTCTTGCATTATATAAAGAATTTTTGATATTTTTTGTTTTAAACAACCTGTGTAATTCCTTTCAGCAAAATGTTCAGTGTAACTAATGGGATTGAGTCCTCTTGCTTTGAGTTGGAATATTGTCTGCAAATGGATGTTCGACTATTGATACAATCAACTGTCTGAAAATTTCATGGAAATCCAATAATTAGGACCACTTTGGATAGAATAAATATTAAAATTTGTGTTATGGAAGTTGAAAGTAACATAAATTAGTGTCAGGGACTGTGAAAACCTGTCTTGGAGAAAATTTGAGTTAAGGACATTCAAATTGGAGACATTAAATCCCTATGCTATTCCATTGAGACTTACCAAGTGCTTCATTTTCTTTGAGTTAAAGAAATATTTGAGTTATAGACATTTGAGTTAGAGAAGTTTTACTGTAATAGAATGAAGGATTGTTCAATTGTATAAATAGATTTTGTCAAAATACAATTTGATAAGCAATTAGGAAAATCTTTTTGAAAAAAGAAATCTTACATAAAATTAAAATAACAAATGATGAAAAGAGAAATGCTGGTATAATTAATAATAATAGCAGTGGTGTGCCATGACATTTGGTGATAGGGAAGCTGTGTTTCCATAAAAATTTTAATACTGGAAATGACAAATACTGATAAATACTGGAAATGACAAAAATAAACAGTTTATTTATTTTAATTCTAAAATAGATAATTGATTCTAAAAGATTTATTTTAATTCTAAAATAAATCTTTAGAATTATCTAAAGATATAAAAACTTGTATTTATTTTTTTACTAGCTTACCCGTCACGCATTGCTGTGATCTCAGAAGAAAGGAAATTCAAGCAAACTCGTTATGATAAAATTCAATTTACATTTTATCATTTTTATTAAAACTTATTATTATTATTCATTTTCATCGGGAAAACATTTCAAAGTGTCATTTCAATTCTATTTATTTATTGGAGTGTTTGTGGATACACGATACTTTTTGTTTTTTCGTCTGGTGTGTACACGAATAAATCAGAAGGTTTTCCGACGCGTGAGCCGGCCACATTCAGTTGTCCATGCAAGAAGCACGGATTCTCCAAATTTAGCCCACACACTGGCAGCGATTGTCAGAAGTGCCATATTCCCCATTCATATATATATATTTTTTAATCCTTTATAATTTTAATTATTTAATTGCTCCTTCCTCTCTTCCTTGGCATGTTGTGAAATTTCTGATAGTTGGATAATAAACCGTTTTATTGTAATTTGTCTTTTTAAATTATTTTGAGTCGATATTAACATTTGGAAAAGGGGGGATACCTAGATCGGTAAAATACGCGAATTTCTTCCTACAACTTCGGTTGTTGTTCAGGATACAGGTAAGGTTTTAACGAAGTTCAAGCGAATACGTAATTAGCAAAAAAAAAAGTTGAAATAAAGTGATTAAACAAAAATTATTAAAAATATCGTAAATAACAGTTCACAAATGCATATATAAAGATATTTTTTGAAGGGGGGAAATGGTCACAATTTGAAATCGATCGAACACACACTGCTCGAATGCTCGAGTAAACGCGCGCCATCTATCATAGGATAAATGCCAGAAACCTTCGCAGGAATGTATTAAAAAACTTCCTAAAGCTTCATGGCAATTGTACTATGCCAGAAACCTTCACAATTTTTGTTTAATCACTTTATTTCAACTTTTTTTTTTTGCTAATTACGTATTCGCTTATGAAAAACTTCCTAAAGCTTCATGGCAATCGTACTACGCCAGAAACCTTCACAGGAGTATATTAAACAACTTCTCAAAGTTTCACGGCAATCGGATAAACGGTGTGGTAACGTGGACAATCGGATAAACGGTGTGCATGAAGGACACACACACATTCCTTTATATATATATAGATGAACTAACTCTATTTGGCAGTTTTTTTCTGCAAAGTCATTAATTGCTTTATCATAGAAATCACTCATCATTGATTCCATCAAAGTATTTAAAAGATCTTTTTCTATCAAAAGCAATGCTAGTGATTATAATCTTTCCTCTGACTGAGTGTTCCTTGTCAATGTATCAAATCACTTCATGGTTGAAAAACTGTGCTCAACAGATGCATTCGTAGATAGTACCATGAAAATCAATGATATTAAATCATATACTTCTTTTAGTACATCTTTGTTCAGATCGTCATTAGTTTAAAAATTATATGTCTAAGAATGACTTGCCAATATAGTCTGGACATGAATATAAATATTGCAATTTACTACATAATTTAGATTAAGTAAATTTTATGGAAAATTTTTTGATTTAAGAATTAAAACTCACGGAAAATTGTTTTTCATAATAATATTTAAAATTATTAACATCTAAAAGCGACAAAAATTCTATAGATTTTATGTCTGAAAATCTGTCAATATAATCANTTTAAAAATTATATGTCTAAGAATGACTTGCCAATATAGTCTGGACATGAATATAAATATTGCAATTTACTACATAATTTAGATTAAGTAAATTTTATGGAAAATTTTTTAATTTAAGAATTAAAACTCACTTTGGAAAATTGTTTTTCATAATAATATTTAAAATTATTAACATCTAAAAGCGACAAAAATTCTATAGATTTTATGTCTGAAAATCTGTCAATATAATCATAATTAAATATAACAGGGATGGCCAACACATAGACCGCGGTCAACTGGTCAACCGCTAAGGTTTTGAAAGTAGCCTGCGAAGCTAAAGTTGAACAATTTGCTTTCACTTTAATTAATGTTTAAAAATCTTAATTCGATAATTTATTCTTACAATAATAGACTGTTTGTGTAATGTACCCATACTGTTTGTATTTATCCCGATGAACAATGCAAATGAATGTTAACGCATGCGCATATAAAAATCCTAAAATTGTTTTGCCCATATTCATAGTCACTCGCAGACTATATTTTACCAAAAAAGTAGCCCCTAAGGGATAAAAGTTTGGCCACACCTGAAATATAACTTTGCAAACAAACATACATAAAAATAACATAAAATATTCTTTACTTTTTAAATCTTAAAACAATCCATTTAGTCAAATAGCTCCCTACAAGTGGCTAATGGATGGAATCATTAGAAATGTTAAACAATATTTTGGTGTGTAGCATCCACCAGCTAAACCACATGATGTTGCTATGTAAAGCTCATGCATATAATTTGCACTACATGCGAATGCATATAATCTGGCTGCTTTACACAATTCAAATATTTTCACTGAGGATGCTGTCCTGTATTTGACAATACAGTGCTTCCATTGGGAATATGCAAATACAAATTTATATTCGAATATACAATAGCAATCTTATAATTTTTTTCACATGTAGTATAGAAGTTTGTAATAAGATACATAATGCAGTTATAATAAAATATTAATTTTAAGTAATTCAAAATACATTAAAATATGAAAATAATCGCACAATATGTATTTATATTTTAGAAAATACAAGGGAAGCAGTGCTTCCACAGCTTTCATGGATGGCATGCCACTGATAAATAGTAAATTAAATAAAGTTGAAAGTATCCCATATAATCTTAACTAAAAACAACATGATAAAATGTTGAGTTTTTTATTATTATTATTTTGATAAAACTTTTTTGAGACTGAACTGTCTCAGCTTCAGATCCAACTAAAAGTTGTTCTAAATTGAACATAACATGAAGCCATTGGTCAAAATTTGAATCTTATCTTCATGCTTAAGTTGGATCCGAAGCTGAGACAGTTCAGTCTTGAAAAACATTTTACTAATGAAAAAGACATTGTAACATTTTAGCATTTTATTTTTTAGTTAAGATATACTATGGGATTAAAAGATGAATTGAGATCCTGTGTGATGTTTGAATCTTGATACTCTAAATAGAATTATTTTAAAAGATGAAAAACTTTTGATTTGAGAGAATACATCAAGGCAATCCAAGTAGTGTTTAATATATAAAAATTGTACAGGGTGGTCCATTTATAATGTTATCAGGAAATATTTCAAAAAATGTTTTAGACCAAATTTATTTGATATTAACGGGAACACAAGATAGCACTATCAATTTTATTGTAGATGACATTACTATTGATGAAAATGAGGTCAACTTCATTTTCATAAATGGGAACCTCAATTTTTTATTGAATATTCTAATTCTGTATTAAAAAAAAAATAAACTTTTAAAACTTTTTTGAGAAATATAATTATCAGAAGCTATGAGTTTGGCTTATAGGTGCTGTTTTAGATGGCATTGTTTCAATAGTATTGAATTAATTGAAAATGGTATGCTATGATTTATGGTTACAGAAAAAGATGATATCATCATAAAAAGACACTTCACACCAAAAATCAAATAAATAATTAACACTATAGTGTTGCGGTGTTTCAATCATAATTTATAATTAACATGTACTTGATAGTACTTTTGATAGCTTACAGTCACCATTCTCAGGTGAAAAAGAAATCGAAAAAGATAGTTTTTTACATAAATAAAAATCATAATAGAAATGTCATGAATGACTGTAATTTTGTACATTAATTGATTCCCTGATATAAATCATTCCAATGTCATGATTTTTCATTGCATCATTAATTTATTTACAAAAACAGAAAGTATTCAACCAAAATGTAAAATTCAGAGGAATACTGTAACAAATAAAGATTTGGAAATTAGTGTTTTAGCTGCAGTAGTTCTATAAAAATTGCATAAGGCTCAGAAATGTCTAAAATTAGTGTTTGCATATTCTTAAAAGGCATACCTTTCATCCTTATTATATTTTGTTGTATCAAGAACTCCATGACAATGAATTTCAAAATCATATGAACTTTTGTCATTGGGCAGAACAAATACAAAAAAAAAAAAAAAGACAATTTTTTTCACAAGTATTGTTTTCTGATGAAGCATCATTTACAAATAATAGTCAAATAAATTGACATAAAATATTTTCCCCTAAGGTAAAATGTTTTGTTATAAGGGATCAGTAAACCTACAGACCAAACTCATAACTTTAAATGTTTATAAGTTCTGATAATTATATTTCTTGAAAAATTTTTTTAGATAAAAGTTTTAATTTTTTACATAGAATTAGAATATGCAAGGTAATGTGAAATTGTTATTTTATTACTTTTAATTTGTAAACTTGTCCTGAAAATAAATTCAAAATCTTAAAAGTACTTTAAAATAATTAGCATTTTTTTACAATTTTTATTAAATTGATCATTTAAATGATATTCAATGTTTAAAAAATATATCACAGTAAACTTTCATATCTTAAATATGTTTATAANTTTTTTTTTTTTTTTTTTTTTTTTTTTTTTTTGTTAGATACATAAATTCACTTAGTTTATGATTAAGTAATAATATCACATATTCAATTAATTATTTAGTAAGTATACTGTGCGTAATCTTTTTGAAAAAGAAATTCATTACTGAAGTATATTTTAAAATTTTAATAAGAACATTATTTGTTCATATTTTGAATTATATTTATTTTTGCTATGTTTATTAATTATTTGTTTTTTTTTTTCCAACTAGATTGTATTATCATATAAAGAAAGTATACCAGAACTGCAACCACTTTTGGGTCATTCACATAGCATGCAGAATGAAGAGGAAGTAAATAATGACAATCAACATACAGTTCACAATAAATCTGTTTCACATTCAAATCTACGAACATTATTATTAGTATTTGCTCTTTCTCTCCATTCTATATTTGAAGGTTTAGCAATTGGTTTACAGACGAATATGAATGATACACTTCAAATATTTATAGCTGTTATTATACATAAAGGAATTCTTGCATTTACTCTTGGTTTAAATTTAATTCAAAGTAATCTGAACTTAATCATTTGTATTATTTGTGATTTTATATTTTCCATTATGAGTCCTTTGGGAATTGGCATTGGAATTGCTATAACAGATTTGGGAACACGTAATGAAATCCCATTAACCAGTGGAATCCTGCAAGGAATTGCATGTGGTTCATTTTTATATGTGACATTCTTTGAAGTTTTACCTCATGAGCTGAATGGTAGCTTTAATCGTCTTTTAAAATTACTCTTTGTCATCTTAGGATTTGCAGGAATAAGCATAATTATTATTTTTTATCAATAAGATTTCATTTTACATCTTATTGAGAATTACTTGAAACAAATATTTTGTATAAATGAATGTAAATATATGTACATTATTATTATATATAGTTATACCTTATAATTCATCACTAGGGACCATCAGTATTATAACATACTACCTGACAGTTTTTGAATTTTACTGTTTTCCAATTTAAAAATGAATATATATTTTGATTTTTCATTTGAAATGGCCAAATGATTTAATTTTAAATTATTTAACATACTGTAAATGATGACAAAGCTATTTTGATATTTATAGCTATCAGATAATTCTTCATTAATTGTATATTAATGTGTGACGTATATAAAGTTTGTCAATATTTATCTGTTAGACTGCAGGAAAACACAAACATCCTTGTAGGTACAGTACACATCTATAGTCTATAATGAATGTGTGCATAACTATCCAGTAGCCAAAACATGTTTTTTACAACTAAGAAAGTTTATCATTTGTTAAGTATTTGGCATCTGTTTTAAGGCTTAATTTTTAAACTTCTGGCAGTATAGACTTACATTAGATTTAAACTGCTGATTTAAACAATTCAGTTCAATTATATCAAGGCTAGTTTAACTGTCAAAATTTTGTCTAACTTAATTTAGTCTTAATACAGTAGAGCGTCATTTATCCGAAGGTCGGTTATTCGAAGGAATTCCAGTCAACAAATTTAAATTTTAGCCAGTGCTGTGGCGCTGTAATCTTTGGCTATGTCTTCGGCTACTCAAATATTTTATGTTTTTGATACTAAATTAACTTCTGAAGTATAATTTTTTATTGTTTTTATATTTTTCAATATATTTATTTTGTTTGTACAAAATAAAAAAATAATTTTTAACGATACAATAGTCTTTGTTAGGCTTAACATCAACGAAAATTCAACACGAAGCGACACGCAACAGAGAAAAATTTCGACACGGGATAAATTAATATATTTTTTCGTACATAATTGGTTATCCGAAAAATAAGTTATTCGAACAACCCCAGTCCCCAATTGATTCGGATAAACGACGCTCTACTGTATAGCCAAAATTAATTAAGTTAAATAAAAGCCTAAACTGTCAAGATTTTGTCTGACAATTGATTCAGGCTTTGCTTTCATCTAATTTGAAATAAAAGAATATCTTAATTATATTATTACTACTATTATTTAGTAAATGTTAGTATAAGAAATATTTACAGAATAAAAATTTTTCATTTAAAAAAAGTTGCCCAATCCTATAGCCAGGAATAGATCACTTGGGAAGAGAGGGGCGACTGAAAAAACTAGCTGATATTTTTCTTTTTTCAGTCAGCACTAGACCCATTAGCTACAGTTTGTATAGAAATAAGTAACAGTAGCCTAAGTTTATATAATGAAAGTGAAAGCCTATATTATTTAATTATACTGTATATGGACACTGCTAACCAAGTTGAGAGGGCTTTGCCATCTTGTAATTACAGGCCTGAACTTACATAATTTTATTATGCTCTTTTTAAAATTTGATTTCAGTTATATATACAGCTAAACTTTCATTATGATAAAAGATGCCACTTTTTAGAATAATTGTCTTGATAAATGGATTATGCAAAGACATATCATAAGAATATTTTATTAGATTTAAAATCAGTAGGACCTTTTCTAGGACTTAAAAGTGACAAATTATGCAATTTGATAAATTAGTAGATGAATAATTAGGTATCTTTATATTATTGTCTACTTTTTTATTTTTTTAATGTTATGAAATTGTATTTTGCAAATATTCATTCAATGTTGTCCAAAATAATAATTGTAGTACTATTGAAACGATATTATTGTTGTTATTATTATTATTATTAAAAAAGTCAAACAAATCATGTATTGAATAGGCAATTTATAACAAATTTAAAATTATATTAACTTTATATACAGAAATAAGTCTGAAACCAGACTTCCCATCAATCACATAGAATGGTCTGGATGTAATCTGTTAAACTCTTCAGCTAATTCTCACTAAATGCACGCCTGCATTTAGTGAGAATTAGCTAAGGAAGGAGTGAGGCCCACTGTCAAAATAACTTGAAATTTGTTCTTCCTTAGTGCCATGTAAAAGAATAAACAAAATCAACATAACTCCTATGGTTTTAGATTTATGGGACACCTGTATAATTATCAATTTAAGAAAATTTAAAATAAACATACTGTATCTTCTTGAAAAGTAATTTGTTAATTTTTAATTTAATAATAATAATTGATAAACAAAATTTTTTAAATTTAATCTGTTAGTATATTGAACTCATTCAGTATTGAGTTTAAATTTGTTTTATATGAATAAAAATTCTAAGTACCATTTGTTACATTATTTTAGAGTACAGTATTTACAAATATACATTAATTTCCTATTTTTATCATAAAGATTAACTAAATACTTATAAAATATAATATGGATGATTAAATTTATATTTATTGTCATATTATTTATTTTTGATATTTAATAAATCATCATTTAGATGAAGTTATGTATTTCAAATATAAAATAATCTCTCTAAATATTCTATAGAAGAATATGTTTTAATTAAAATGGCTATATTTTTAACTTAATTTTGTTAATATCTGATAAAACTTTAATTTATAATCATTCAAAAATGCTAATTTAAAATAAAAATGTTTTAGAAAAATCATTTTAAATAAAAAGAAGTTAATGATCAAAGAAGTAAGTAAATAAAAGTTATTTTCTTCATGCAGGAGTTTTTCTAATGCATAAGATATATGTAAAATACTTAGTAAATATCTCTCTACACTATATTTGGTTAGTTATTCAGTTTTTATTTATTTAATTTTTTTTTGAATGAGTTATTCAGTGTTTAAAGACACTGATAATGTGCCATATTGCCTCAATTTATTGTTATGAAAAGCATGCTGTGACTAATGATAAAGATATATAATTTTTCCCCTTAAATTAGTTTGTTTTTGTTTCGTATTCCACACACTGTTTTTATCATTTAAAATATAAATTCTTTTTTTACTGTAATAAAAACAAATTTATTACAGTAGAGTCTCACAAGTCTGAACTAATTGGGACTGAGCCCTGTTCGAATTAGCAGATTTTCAGATTAGCCAAATAATTGAAATAATGCAGAAGCAAGCAGTAAAACAGGTCCAGTTTATGTAGATCCAACACCATCAATGACTTTTGTTTCTGTTTTTGTGTGTAAGTACAGTATAGATCTGCTGTTTTAACAGGCCATGTCAAACACTGATGTATTAATTTTGTACAGTATTAATATAGTACTACAATAAAATACAAGTTTTTTTTTTGTGGAATTCTAAATCTTTTTGTACCATTAATACCATTTAAATTCAAGTAGAAAATACAAAAAAAGTATATTTTGTAAGCTAAAAAATTTTTTCTTTACAGACTGAAACATGTTGGGATTAGTGGTGGTTTGGACTAGCAGGACTCTACTGTAAAACCATATCATTGTTTATAGTTTACAGTATAGAGTGTGAACGTAAAATGTTATATTGACTGTGATATTACCTAGGAACATTTTAAAAGAATGGACTGAAGACAGGCAAAAAATGCCAGAAATGCACATCTCTAATTGAACGATTTTTATTGGAGTGGAGCTTCCTGAATAAAAAATACTACATATTAAACACTAACAAAAACAGGAAGTGAATAAAAAAGTTTGATTGATTTAGTTAAAATTTTAAAAATCCTAAATAATAAGTTTACAAATTGTACTTTCCTGGCTGTTATAGAATGTAGCCTACAATGAGTATGTTAATCTGTCAAATTTTGATCCTGGTTTTTGCATTTCTCGACATTTCGACACCCCAGAAGCCAAAAATAATTTTAAAAATTCATTACAAAATTCTGTGCGTGCGTTTTTCAGCCCTTATTTTGCATTACATCTCAGGGATGGATGAATCAAAACTACCAGCATTTCTGAGTAATACCGGTGATGAGAGTTGGGTATTTTAACATGATTCCGAGACGAAACGTCAAAATTCAGAATGGCGTTAGCTTCCTAAGGAAATACGGTTAGAAAAATTGTGAACGGAAACCAGATCGTTGTCTTCGATATCAAAAGGTATTATCTATCGAGAATTTGTTTCCTGGCCGTTATCCGCCAAGACAAGAAAGTAACACAAAAATGATGATGATGTCAGATTGAATTCTTTGAGTGAGATGAGAAACATTCGACCCCAAAAGTTAGTTATTGCACAGAATTTACACATATTCTGCCTAAACATCGAGCAGTTTTTGGCAAAAGTCATAGAATATTCCATTTTTTCCAGAGTTTAGAGTCCAAATTAGCTTAGAAGTTTTTTATTATTGGATTGATCAGATATTTGTGTTTTGTCCTTCACCATTTAACTGCCCATCATGTAGCCAAATCCAAATACCGATAATGACTGCTTCGTTATTTGAAATGATAATGATCTCGTAATTGGAAACTAATTTATATATGTTTAATATTCAATGAGAATTAATAAAATCAAATATTTTATGTTTCATCGCAATTTTCTTATTTATTTTTTAAAACGGTAACAATATTTTAATCATGCAGTCGTCAAACGCTCTTTTTGGAGGAAGAACTGTACAGCAATACAGAGCAACAAAGAAGGAAAGCCAGCTTTACAGGCGACCTTAACCACAGGATAAAAATCTATTACAGAATTCTCTTACAAATTTTTGTCAGATACATAAATGAACTTTTAATTTTCCAGCCGTTATGTATACATAAGGGAAAGTATTAGAATCGTGTGAAATATGACCCTTCGAGTTTTTTTGCAAATCGCCACATTCTGGGACTCTTGAACTTAAGTAAAAAAAAAAAAAATCCGTGAATGTGTGTTGGCGTCTATTTTCATTTAATATCTCAGGATGGGGTAAAGGAACGAAATTTGGTACGGTAGCTTGTGTATAAGGGACATTGTTACCATTAAACGAGGTGATGGGGAGAGAGGGTGGTGACATTTCATATCTCGCGTTGGGTTGGACTTTAAATGCTAACGTAAAATCATACTTTTACTTTAAAAAAACACACATACACAGCTCTGCCCTCAAAATTAAGTATTTTCATTTTATAACAAAATTATTTAACTTTTAATTGAAAAAGTTATATAGATAAAGATGGCGCCATACACTTTATGAAAAAAAAAATTCTTAAAATTTCTCAACAGCCGGGAAAGTTACGCATCGTTGCTACATTTTTTTAAAACAAAATTTTTTCTTACTCTAGAGGTTTACTTTCCCGGCTCTTATAACACTAATCAACAGCCAAAAAGCTTCCAAAACCAAAGTAGCTGAATATTACTAATTCGTGTGCTGAATATTAATATGACAATAAAAACGTTAACTTGGCTCTAGTTTTTAAGATTTCGAACCAAATATGTCAAATTTTTGGAAAAATTGCCATTTTTCTGTAGTTCTTGAAATGTATTCCTATACAGCTTAAAGTACATTTTCTTGAATGTCTGTGGAAAGAAAAGAAAATAATCATTCTTATGACAGCTCTCAATATATGTTACAAACAATCCAAAGGGAGACTTCATTGACTACTTCAAAGTGAGCCTTAACGCCATTTTGTTACTGTTGTGTAACAAAAGCTTTCTATTCATATTGGCCATACAAAGTACATGAAAGAATCATACAAAAGCATGAAGCAACTTCTTGCAAAAGTAAATTATCAAGAACATAGTAGCCACGTAGTGGAGATGCGCAGTAGCGCTCCATAACAGTGGCGTAGCTAGGGTTCT